ATGCCCTCCCCAACATCTCTTCTTTGGGCCCCTCAGATTTAGTGAGTCCCTCCCCAACCTCTTCCTGAGTCCTCTCTACCAGTGGTGGCACCTCCTGCCACTCAATCTTGAATGCCTGTTACCTCTTGCTCACTCTCATGTGGTCCAGAAGCCTCAGAACAGGGACCGCTTGGGCTGAGAGGACCCAAAAAGTCATCTCGAGATTCTTTCCAGGATTTCTCCACCCACTTCCTCCTTACTCCCTCACTGCTCATAGTCGGCTGGGCTCTGGGACTTCTGGCTTCCCTGGCCCTTCGCCCTCCAGCCATAGCTCTTTTCTGAAAGCACAGCACCACAGTGCCCTTCTCCCTGTCACACATGGCCATGGGTTTCCTGCTGCCTCCAGGAAAGGCCCCAAACTCTGCCTCACTCTGGGCCCTCCTCTACCTGGCCAGAACCTACGCTTGGAAAGTCTGGTCCCTCTTCAGTCCTCTGCACAGTCCTTCCCCTGAGTCCTGGCCACAGCCTGGGGCCTGGGCCTTTATTTCTGTCATTTCCTCTGCCAGGACTCCTTCTTGCTTCCTACTGGTTCATGAAACAATGCTGTGAGTGCTAACATGGGCCAGCTTGTGCTGGGTGGTGGGAATGTAGTGGGGAAAAGAGACAGATCCAGTCCCTGCCCTCGTGGAGCTCAGGAGGTGAGCTCTTCCAACTGCTTTCAAGGACAAGAACTTGGCTGCTCTCCTCTACAATGCTATGAGGTATGGGGCTAACAGGTACCATCTACCATGCCAGACACCATATGGGGGGGGAGGTGTAAGTAATATCCTACAGACCAAGTACTGGACCAAGTGTTGTGACAGTCAAACGATAGCCAATACTGATGGAGTGGGCACTCTTTGTGAGGCCTGTGCTAATAAGAACAATAACAACACCTGCTAGCAATTACAGAACATTTACTAGATGCCGGGTGCTGTAATTCATGCTTTACTACATTAGGTCAAGTCCTCACAACTACTCTATGAAGTGGATCCTATTATCATAATACCAATTTTATAGGTGAAAGAGATTGAAGCTCAAAGATGTTAAGTAATTTGCTTGAGGTCACACAGCCAGGACCTCGCAGAGCTGGATGGGAACTCAGGCTATCTGGGTGTGGGTGAGGGACTGGCTATGTGGTGCAGCAGCAGCCAGGGAGGGGTCGGGCGTCTCTGACAGGAGAGGCTGAGTAGATGATGAAACCACATGTGAGATCCAAACTGGTACTGTCCAACGGAACTTCTTGTAAGGACATAAATGTTTCATATCTCCACTGCCTGAGACGGAGCCAATAGCCACATGTGGCTACTGCATGCAGTGTGGCCAGTGCAACTGAAGAACCGATCTTTAATGTTACTTTTAATTAATTTAAATGGACATAGCCACATGTGGGTAGTGGCAGCAATAGTGGACAGCTCCAGACCGGGGTTCTGCTGACTACGGCCCATGGGCCAAAGCCTGCTGTTTTTGTAAATGAAGTTTTATTGGCACACAGCCATGCCCATTTGTTTACATATTGTCTATGGCTGCTATCATGCTACAAAACAGAGCTGACAGAGACTATATGGCCCACAAAAACTAAAATATTTACCATCTGGCCTTTTAAGAAAAAGTTTACAAACCACTACCCTAGACTGGAAAAAACAGAGAACAGAGCAAGGAACAGCCTTTCTCGGGGCAAAATTAACTGATAAACTGCTGGCTAGTTCTGTGCTACCTTTCCAAACTCCTTCCCTTCAGACCCACCCACATATGCCACAGAACCCTGCTTGATGATATTATCAACAACAGCTGCCACTGACTGAAGGCCCGTTATGTGTCATGCACTGTCTCCCACTGAATTCTCACAACAGACCTCAGAGGCAGGTATATGACAAAGCCCATTTTCTAGATGTGAAAATTGAGTCTTGGGGAGGTGATTTGAGTCCCCCAAGGTCATGGAGCTTACAGGGGCATAGCTACCATCTTAACCTGGGTCTGCCAGCCCCCAAGCCTGAATCTTCTCACTCCTACTGTTGGCAAGAAAAAGGAAAGGTGGCTGTGTGGGCCAGGCTCACGTCATGTACAGGCATTTCTGTGTTGGTCACTGCCACACCTGACAGCTGAGCAAGCTGGGGTGGAGGGTGTGGTGCGATTTCTACGAGGCCCGCTCTGGCCCCTGGGGGAGAGGTCCCCCCACCCCTGGACCCTATCTCTAGTCCTGCTCACTGTTGATCAGCTCCAAGGCCTCCTCCTTGGTCCGGGTGATCTTCTCCTGCCTCCAGGATGAAGGCCTCCGTGACTGGCTGTGCTTGACCAGCAGGTGTGAGCAGCGGACCCTGGTGGGTTCCCCCTGTCCATTTTTGCCGCTGCCACTGCTGTTGCCACTTGGTCGCTCCCACTGGCTGGCATTAGTGATGTGATTGAAGTAGTACACCCGGCCTGGAGGGAGAGGAGGTGGGAATTCAGTTGGGATCTGCTCATAGGACATCACCCTGAGTCCAGGATAAGCAACTGGCCTTTGAGATGCCATCATTCAGCAAATCCACTGTGTCTACGACGTGTCACAGGACCTTAGAGGGCTAACATTCTAGGTGCCAGCAAGTAAGACCTGATAACATCAGTCAGTGATAACTTTAGATAACCCGGGGTGACAACAGAGAGGAAGCCAAGGGGCAGGGAGATGGAGTAGTTCAAAGCATGCACTCGGCAGCAAGATCACCTATTCAGATTTGGCTCTGACTGCCTATTGAGTTGCTGTAAGGACAGAATGAGTTCACATCTGTAAAGCCCATTTTATAGATAACAAAACTAGGTAACGTTTCCTGAATGTTTTACTGTGCTTCAGGCACATTATAGAGGGAAGCAGGAATTGTCAGACACCAAAGCTCTGCTCTTCTCCCCTACAATATACTGTGCTGCACAATGAGGGGCCAGCACACTGGGGACAGACATTATTCAGGAACTGAGGTGCATGGAGTGAAGAGGGCACACAAGAAGCTTGACATGGGACCCAGCAGAGACGGGGCATCATTTCAGAGGCCTAGAGTCTGCTTGGGTTACATGGAGGACTAGTGCCCAGCACTGTGAAGGGTGAATGTCACCCCTGAGAAGGACTGTCAGAATTGAGCAGAGCAGAAATGGCAGGAGTGGGGGCCTACGGTTGGGCAGAGCATCAGGTTTGTGCTTGCAGGTCAGGCCAAGGCAGGTATGCGGGGAGAGAGCTGAGCCACTGATGGCCTTTAAAACCTTGGCAATGGGCTCTATCTACCTGAATTTCAGTTTTCTCATCTGAAAAGTGGTGAAGTGAGAGATAAGGACACCAAACTTCACTGGGTTAATGTGGAGAGTCGATGATGATGGAGGCAAAGAGCTTACCAGAGTGCCTGGAGTTCAATAAACGAGAATTATTACTGCGACTATGATTACTATGGGCAATGGAGGCAGTGGAGTGAGATGCAGGACCTGCTTCCAGTACGCAGTGACAACTGCAGGGAACTCTGGAGTCAAACTAACTGGTCTAAACTAACCCTCAGCCCCAATCCGTGAAATGAATGATCTTGGGCGAGTTCCTTAAATTTTCTAGCCTCAGTTTCCTCACCTGCAAAATGAGGATAAGGGATACTGACCTCCCAAAGCTGTGGCCAAAGAGAGAAGACACTTAAAACGCCTGGCACGATGCCTGATGCTGATAAAAGTACCCTACTGTTGACATTATTATTGTTAAGGCTGAAATCGGGCCCAAGCACAGGGACCGTCCTCAGAATATCACCATAGGCTCAGTATTAAGTGTGGATGGGTGGAGGGCGTGTTAGCAAGAGTAGGTTGTGGATCCGCGGCCGGGCAACATCCTGGGGCCACGCCCTGAGCATGAGTTTGGGGTGTCCTCTCCCAGGGGTGCCTCACAGGCCCAGCGGGGTGCAGAGACGTCTCCCCGTGACGTCAGGTGCACTGGGCCGAAAGGTGTCAGCCTGATCGGCAGGGCCAGGGCCATCGCCTGGAGGAGGGCCGCAGGATCACGAGCCCCTCACCCCCCCAACCCCACAGCGCGCTGGGCCTCCCTGATCTTGTCCCCGCCTCAGTTTCCTCCGGCTTCCTGGCTCCAAAGGCTCAAGCCTCAATAGGGCGGGCCGAGGCCGTTACCCGGGACAACGCGAGGGAGCCAAGACCCCGTACATATCGGGCAGCGGCGCCGCGCCCGAGAGGCGAGCTCGAGCCTTGCTTCCACAGGCCCGCGCGGCCCCGCCCCAGCCCCGATCCCCGCGGCACCTGAGCTGCGGCTCATGCGCTTCTCCCAGCCGGGCGGCAGCTTCTCCTCGTCCGCCATCTTCCCTCCTGCCGCAGCGGCCGCTCCGCCTCCACCGCACCGCCTATGCCGCCCGCCCGCCGCTGCCAATTGGCTGGGCGCGCCTTGCACCGGGGCCTGGCGGCAACGCTCATTGGGAACCCCAACTGTCCAGACTGAATTTCTGGCTTTCTATTGGGCAGAAGCGATGGTGGGCGGAACCTCCCAGCCTTTACACCTGAGTCCCGCCCCTGACCAGCCTCACCCGGCCCCGCCCCTTTCCTCCCTTCGGCCCATAAGTGGTGGGGAAGGGATACACGCCCGCCTTCTCAACGCCCTTTGGCGCGGTTCAAAGAAGTCCCAACCTCTCCTTTGCGTCCTTCGCCACAGAGCCCACCCGATTGGCTACAAAAGCGAAAATTCCCGTCTTCCTAACCCGTTTCCGGCGGGCCGCAAGCCCCTATACGGAAGTGTCTGGCTGGTGTGGAGGTAACGGCAACAGAGGAGGTACTTGAGAGATGAGGCACCACCTTTGCTGTTGCCATAGCAACGCAGTTGCCTTGGTGACGAGCAACTAAGAACCAGAAACCTTAATTTGGCTCCTCCATCCTCCCTCTTCCCACCTCGTTCCTCCAGATGTCCAAATGTAATCCACCCCTTTTTGTGTGCAAGGCTAACCTTTTCCCTATGCCACTGACCCAAACACCTTCCATTAATTTGGAATCTACTTACTTCGAACCTACTTTCTTCACTTATTCCTTCTCAAGCTGGCTCGTTTCCATCCTGGTGACTCGTGGGTGTTCGCATTGCCACTCAGATGGGGACAGAGGAGGAGGTGCGGATGGGAGAATAATGAGTTTAGTTTGAATCAATTTAAAATGGAGTCTGTGGCGCCCATGGGACACTAAAGAGGTGGTTGAGGACCCAGGGCTAGAGATACGGGAATCAAAGACACCAACAGGGCAGAGTTAAATTACAGTTCATCTATTGACCCTCATGTGACCATTAAAAAGAATGAGGCACAGAGACATGAAACACAGGGAAATATGTTCACAAGAAAGTAGGATGCCGTAGAAGGTTAAGAGCACTCAGGAACCAGACTGCTTGAGTTCAAAGCCTGGCTCTACGATTGGCAAAATTATCTTCAACAAATTACTTATTTAAACTTGGCACTTCAGCTTTCCTATCTGCAAAATGAGGATAATAAATATATTTCACACGTACTTTTGATGTAAAGATTAAATGAATTAGTTTATATAAAGCACTCAAAACTGCCTGGCCCATACATAACAATACGTTTGCTGGGTGAATAAAAGCAAATCAAAGAACACCATAGCAATTATAGTATGTAGAAAAGCATAACAAAAAAAATCAACAAATAAAATTACTTAAAAGAATGACATAGCTTACGGAAAGATATTGAAGCATTAACAAGCAACCTGCAGAACAGTATCAGTATTAGAGTTTGAATAATTAACTGTGTAAAAACTATGTTTTAGATTCCTAGAGGCAGGGTACAAGCTGATCGTTGCCGGGTGAGGCAGGGAGGTAGACCGATGGGGTGAAAAAGGTCAAGGGCTAACAAACTGGTTGTTAGGAAATAGTCGTGGGGATTTAAAGTATATTAAATATAGTCAATATTATGTTGATAACCATGTAGAGTACCTGGTGGGTACTAGACCAACCAGGGGGGATCACTTTGTAAGTTATATAGATGTCTAATCATTGTGCTATGCACTTGAAACTAACATAAAATAATACTGAATGTCAACTGTAATTTAAAAATTTAAAAAGGGGAGAAAAGGTGAAGGGAACAAGAGGTTCAAATTTCCAGGTATAAAACAAGTATATCATGAGGATGTAGTGTACACAGGGAATGTAGTCAATAATATTGTGATAGCATTATGGTGTCATGTGGTTGCTGGACTTTTCATGGTGATTACTTCTTTAGGTAGATAAATGCTGATTAACTATAGGGTATACCTGAAACTAATATAATATTGTATGTTAGCTATATTTTAATAAAAAAAATTTTTTTTAAATGGGCAAGAAATTTCAACAGACGTTTCATGAAACAAACTAACAGATGTTCTCAACCAGGGGCGATTCTGTTCCCCAGGGGACATCTGGCAATGTCTTAAGACATTTTTGGGTTATCACAAATGGGGAGAGGGCAATGCCGCTGGCATTTAGTGGGCAAAGGCCAAGGATGCTGCTAAACATCCTACAATGCACAACCCCTACAACAAATAACAGTACCAAAACTGAGAAACTCTGCCTTAGAATAATTGTCAAAACTAAGAAATCAACATTGGTACAATACTATTAACTAGACTTGAATCCACATTGTCACGTTTCCTCAGTTTCCTCTAATATGTGACAATTTTTAGGTCTTTCCTTGTCTTGCACGACCTTGATACTTTTGAGGAGTGGAATGGCCCCTCATTCTGATGTTTTGTCATGATGGGGTTTGTTGGGTATTTTCTCGTGATTTGGTGAGGTTATGCATTATGGGCAGGGATACCAGAGATGATGTGCCCTTCTCATACCAGGTGATCGTGTTGCTATGTACTCCTGGTTGTATTAAGGTATCTATTCCTGCATCACAAATAACCCCACAACTTAGTGGATTATTATTGTCTCACAGTTTCTATGGGTCAGGAATCCAGGCACAGTTTATTTAGCTGCTATCAGTAGGGGTGGCTGTGGTCTAATCTGAAGGTTTGACAGGGGCAGGGTCTGCTTCCAAGCTTGCTTATGTGGTTGCTAACAGGATGTTGAACTGAAGACCACAGTTCCTCACCGGCTATTGGCTGGGGCCTTTCCAAAAGGCAGCTCAAAACATGGCAGCTTTCATCAATGACCAGTGAGCAAGCAAAACAGAAGCCAGTCTCTTTACAACCTCATCTCAGAAGTGATATTCAACCACTTTTGCTATGTTCTATTTGTTAGAAGCTAGTTCCAACCTATACTTAAGAGGAAGGGATCACAGAAGGGTATGGATACCAGGACGAGGAGATCATTAGGGGCCATCTTAGAGGTTGTTTACCATACTTGCAATATTATCTTCGATCACTTGGTTAAAGCAGTTTCTAAACTTACTACTGCAATGAATACTTTTTTTAAAAAGAATAAATCCACTTTATTTACTTTCAATAAGTTTAAATCCTTGAGGCTTACCGCATTACACAGATTGTGTCTAATGGCCTTAGCTGGAAGGTTGCTTCGGAATTTGGCATAAACCCTGTCACTGTTTCATGAGCGTGAGTCACCTTCCCCCAGATAACTCTGGTTTTGTTCAGTTTGCCACCAGGAGTCACTGTGTTGATCTTTGCCTTGTACACATAAGCACATTTCTTGCCTAGATAACTCAGTCTCATCTCGAGCATAAACACCTTCAATTTTAAGAAGAGCTGTGTGCTCCCTCTGGTTCCGGAGACCCCGTTTATAGCCAGTAAAAATGGCCTTGGACCACAGCCTTCCAGACATAATGGTTGTTTTAGAAGTCCTTTTCTCAGCAGGACTCCACAGGCTCCAAGACGGCAGAAAAAGGAAGGGGAGCATAACAAATACTTTTGAGGAGATACTTTGAGACTGTGCAAATATCCTACTTCTGCTTAAGTTTTCACTCACCAATTTTAGCATCTATCAGTGCGTCTTGCCTACAGTAATTATTTCTATGTGTGCAAATGGTAGGTGATTTCTTATTTCCCTCTTCTACATTTATTAAAATTCTTTTGTAATGAAGAGTTGTCCCTTTCCCCCCATTTATTTACATATTGTTATTGATATGAGCATGAGCTCAAGAATATTTATTTTATCCTTTGGGTTATAATCCAATACTGTCATCATTTCGTTGCTCAAGTTGTTCCAAATTTGGCTACTGGGAGCTCTTTCATAGGTTGGCTTCGGTGCCCTTGCAACATGCTTCTCTCCTTTTTATTTGAGCATGTCCTACTTCCTGACATCACAAGATGCTCCATGCTCAGCTTGGAATCTGCCCTAGCTCTGGAACCACTTCTCCAAGGAGCCCTAGTTCTTTTTATTGGAGAATGTTATTTAGAAACCAAGAACTGGGAGCTGGGTGTGCTCATTACTACTGGGGTGTCACTGCATCTGGTCCCGCTAAGTGGATAAAACAAGGAAATATATGCATGTATACACACATATCTGCATGTATCTGTATACACAGTAAATAAAATTTACCATGAGTCCATTCTGATGTGTACAACTCTAATCCAGCCCCACAGGGTTCATTCTAACCATATAGCAATATATCTACAATATATTTACCCATTTGTTCAACTCTGTGTGTGTGTATACACAGGTACAAGTTTCAGAATTGCTAAATCATATCCCTGTGAGGAACATATTTACCAAGTACAATACAATGTTTGTGTATGCTTTTTTTTCATCTTTAGCCTTCCAGTATCCAGTCAAAATACTATTTCTAAAGTTACTTAGGTCATCTCTCTTCCCCGCCCCCTTCAGTGCCATCATGTGATTCATTTGTAATCCAGACAAATTCATTTGATGGCCTGCACTCCATCTTTCTTCCTCCATCCTCAGTTGACAAATGCAGACTCCGGCATCTACCACCACAGTTCTAGACTGAACAGTTCCATCACCACAAAAATCCCTCCATACTGTCCTTTGATGTAAAAAGCAAAAATAAAAATCAATAAAAATACTAATTAAAAAATGAGATATGTAATTTATATGGAAAAATGTCAAAAATAAAGCATAAAAAAGCAAACTGCTACTAATTGCCACCAGCGGGAGGGGTGGTGTTAATACGAAACAATTTTTAACCAAACATCTGGATATTTTACAAGCAGATATTACCATAGTCATCTTTTGAAAATAAAATTAAAGTTTATAAAAATGCATTGAAAAAGGCCTGACCTCAGAAGAGAGAATGGGGTGAGGAAAGGGGCTTTACTTCTAGCATGTACTCTTCTAGGCTGATTTGAAATGAGGAATCGCCTTGTCAAAGCTGCTGTATTGTTAAAAAATTTTTGTTGGGTTTGTTTTTTAACAGCCAGGTAAGGGGGGCAGATTGAGCTCTAAGTGTAGGAAGAACAAGGGTACCAGGAAACACTCATGTCTGACATGTTGGGAGGAAACAGAGTCCTGGAGACAACAGGGGAGCCAAGGGGCAGGTGGGGAGGTGACTAACAGAGACCGAAGAGAGACTATTCTCAATGAGCTACAGGCCAGCAGCATCCCAGGCGGCTGGCAGGTCCACCTCCCAAGAAGCCGAATGGTGAATGGAAGATAGAAGGCTGGGAGGAGCTTGGGAAGCAGTGGGCTAGATTTGAATGTGTTTATGTAAGGAGGACAAGGCCGGGCAACCCGAAGGAGGGATGGAGCAAGGTTCTGGGGGAAGCTCTCGAGAAGGGCTCTGGAATGTGGCTCAGGGAAAGGACAAGGCTACGGTTGACCCCAGGATCTGTGGCTAGGGGAACAGAGATGGGGTGTTTGGTGTCCTGTCTACTCACACGTGGGAGAAGGAGGCTGGAGACAGCTAATAACACTGTGGACCTGACGTCCTGCTGTTCTAACTGCATTATCTCACCGAGATGTGAGTGCCATCATGGTACCCCTTTTTTCAAGGAAACTGAGAATCACAGAAGCTGACTTCCCCGAATCCCACAACTCATGGTCAGTCAACATTCAACCTATTCCACACTGTCTTGCTCTGTCCACTATGATGGAAGTGTAGATGCTTAACCACGTTTTAGCTCATCTACACTGCATAATGTGACAATGAAATAAACACAATCGGTTCCACTTTAGAAAAGGAAGTGGAAGCTTAGGGAGGTTAAGGAACTTGGTCAGGGTCACTGTTGGTGTTGGAGCTGGGATTCCACCCACAGTCTGTCTGAATCCAGTATTCCTAACTCATGGCAAGTCCCCGAGCTCTGAACTTCCACACAGGCTCCTAGTCTACTGGCTTACACTTTCCTCACTAATCCAGTCAAAATTGGGCTCTTATTGAGCTGGGTACTGAGTATATTGACAACCAGATACCAACTCCCCTCATTACATAACCCTCAAAGATGACAACAATGAAGCTGCTTCTAAGCTTTTATTAACATGACTTTTTAAAAACAAGCATCTATACCAGTGTGGAGGGTGACGCTGAGAGAAGGGAGGGCATGGCAGGGGAAGGAATTCTGTTTTATTGGTAATAAAGCTCCAGGTTCATCCCATCGTGGATTTCATCTAAAAGGAAAGGTGTTAAGGAATCAATATTGTGGGCTCCATCCCCACCCCTCTCATCTCTCACAGCTGGGTGAGGATGGGCTGAATGCTCAGCCCCGGGGCCGAGGAAGCCATCTTGGACTGGGTCCTTTTGATTTGGAGACAACAAACAATAAAAAGTTCATGCTCCTTTTGCACAACTGACATGCCGAAATCTCACTCCACCCTGACCTCCTGTCCACATTAGGTGGAACTGAGCAATAGATATCTTGACCTTAAAGTGTCTTCTAAGCCCCGAAATATTTCACCAACCACCCTCCTCCTCCATCAAAATAATCACGACTCCCATTTTCTAAATGCTCACCATGTGCCAAATACTAAGTTAAATACCTTATGTGCATCATCTCAGACAGACTCAGTATTTAACCAAGAGAATCAGGACACGGTATGTACACTCTTCTTCAAATCATACAAAGGATACAGTCCCCCAGAGAAACGTGGTCCTTAAAAATCGTGTACCTAGGAGATAGAACCTTTTAGACAAAAACCCTGGAGGCAAGCTGAGGAAGCCCTTTCTAAGCAAGGCACTCCCCCAACCCAAACCTTCTGGGCTAGTGCTGTGCTGTCCAGCCCCCAGCTGTGCCACTGCACTCACCACTTCTTTAGTACAATCTTGTTCCAACGGGTACCAGTTTGGGCTGCGATCAGCTTCTTAAGGTCCCCGATGGTGTCATCGGTGCTGGGCGCAGTGGAGTTAAGGAAAATGGAACGGGAAGGTAGAATACAGAAGAGGACATTGCAGGGCTGAATGCACTCTGCCAAGGCCCCATCCGCCCCTTGTCCCAGGTTCAACTAAAATCACTCCGCAACACAGACTGAGTTGCTTCAGGCCAAACACCCGCACGGAACACTGCCTCTCGGCCACCGGTGGATACTTGCATTTCACGCGGACCTTCTTCCCCAGACGGTCGTTGCAAACAACCTCGATCATTCTGTCTGGAGCTACACAGTGTGGGGGTTGTGAGACAGCGGAGTCAGGACGTCAAGGGCCTCCCAGGCCCCAAGATCTCTGGTTACCGAGATTTTTGTTCATTTCCCACCCCCACCCCGACTCCCACCCCGAGGAGACAGCGGACCCCAGGCCTCCCCGCTTCTGGCCGCCTCTCGCAGGCCGGTGGACCGTAGATGGCCAGGTCCCATCAGCTTTCCCCGACTCCGGACCGCTCCACTTGGCCCCCTCACCTCGAAGCGCTTAGAACCTACCGACGCCACAACCTCCTCGGTGGAGAGCAGAGCCGCGGCCAGAGTCGACGCCGAGAACCGGAAGCGGAAGCGCGCCGCCGAAGGCGCCGGTCCCTCCGGTGCCGGTCGACACCCAGCCGCGTTCTTTGTGTTCCGAGCCCTGGCGTGGGCTTGTGGGTTCCTAGGCACCGCTTTGGGGGTCCCGAGGCTGGGCAGGAGGACACTTGCAGTCGGTGCTCATGGACCGGGGGACATTGGGAAGAGGGGCGACCTTTTGTTCCTGAGCCCGGCGAAACCTCTAACTGCAGCTAGGGGGCTAACGGGTAACCAAACAGCTGCCAATGTAACTGCTTTATTCCTTTTCAGCAGGCAGGATTTCCCTTACGGTGAGCCCAAAGGGATTCACTCTGAAAAGGGGCCAGCACTTCTGATTCGCCCAATCTACCTTCTCAAACTAGGATGTGAGATTACGTGGAAGACATGAGAGGCCATCCTGTGGAAGGGATATATGTTGGGTAACCTGGTCGGGCTGGCCAAGAGGTCCCACCACAAATGCTGGGCTCAGGAGCCTTCTTGCCTCAGAACTTTGACCCACCATTCCTCCCCTCTGAGTGGGCTTGAGAGGGCAGGGAATCTGAATGGAAAGCTATTCAGATTGTAGACACAGGCTTTGGATCCAGACAGATGAGTCAAAACCCCAACCTTACCCCTTAATATTAAGCTGTATAGTTTCAAGCAAGACACTTCCCCTCTCTGATTCTCATTTTCCTCATCTATGGAAAGGTGATCGATAGCAATTCCCACCCTAAGAATTGGTCTTGAACCAGCCCCTGACAGCCCTCTGAGTGCAGAAAAATAGATGAGACAAGAAGAGAAGTCGGAAGGTCAAGGGTGAGCTGAGGGTACTGATGTGCCTGAGGAGGTTTGAAAGGAGCGCATCTTTGCATTCACATAGAAAGGGGGAGTCACACAAGGTGTTGAAGGTCTTACAACCAGATGGTGGAATTGTTGAGGCTCATTTTTCTCTTTGTTGCTTTTTGGTGTTTTCCCAGATTATCTACAATGAACATATGTTACTTTTGTAATGCGGGGGGTGGGGGGGGGAGTAAATGTTAGTTTTTGTTTTAAAAGAGAAGTTCTAATTTCTCAGTGTTCAGTTCAAAGATAGCATAAGTATAGGATCATGATGCTGATTTATGGGCTTGGGGAGATTGGAAAGGGGTGGAGAGTGCTGCTGAAAGTGGAGGAAAATAAAGTCTGGGGCTGCTGGGGCCTTGGACTCCATGGGGAGTGGTGAGGATCTTGGGAGGGGACTGCAGGGTATGACATCCTGAGGAGGGGATGGGGGGACAATGGGAAGTCACAGAACTAGATTGCCAATGCTGCACAGACTTGCTGCCCTGGACTCAGGTGAGAGGCGGAGGGGCCTCAGAAGACAGGACACCTCATACTAGTGACCCCTCCGCACACCCTGGTAATTCTAACTTGGGGCTTCCCATGAAGGGACTCAGTGACTGCCCACCAAGAGCCAGGGCATCCCCATCCCCTTGTCTGGGTGGCAATAGGATCTGTTGTTAGATCTGCTGTTTGTAGTGGAGGTAGAGTTCTGGGTCATGACCCAAGCTAACTGGGCAGGCCCCCTCTGACCCTTTGTTTCTTAGGTTTCTGACCCAGAGGAAGGAGCTTTGCGTTGGGGCAGGAGATGGTTCTTAGGAATCCCCTGTAACTATGCTGAGGGCAGGGACACCTGGGTTCTGCTGAACTTAAAGGCACCCCTCCCACCCAGGGTTTACCAGTGGGGAAATAATCTGAGAGGAGGAGGGGGTTGCTCAGGAGGTCTCTTCCCCCAACATCTCAGCCTGTCAGCAGGCCTTGGAGATACAGCAGTGACCAATGCTGACCTGCCACCCCAGAGTTCAGTTTGACAGAGGAGGAAGACGAGTAAAGAAAAGTGAAGAGGTTGTTGCAATACAGTGTGACAGGTGCTGTGAAGGAGAAGCCCGAGAGCTGGGAGCCCAGGAGGCGTTGTCGCTGCATGACTGGCATGGGTTTTGCAGAGGAATTCATGACCACAGAGCATTGTGGTAGAGGCCCATGTTCTGGCGTCACAAAGATCTGGGCTTGTGGCCCTGGCAAGCAACTTGACCTCTGTGCAGTTCTTTTAATCGTTCCTTCCAGCTTTGAAAGATGGCTGCCCGAAAAGGAAGCATTTTTTTTTTCTGTGCTTTTGTTTGAGGAAAAATATCAAAGGTTTGATTTATTAATAAACATTTGGAATTGTTTTTTTAAAAGTAATACTTGCATACAGTAAAAATTCAAGATGCAAGAAAGTATATAAATAGCACGTAAAGTCTGCTTACCCTCCAGACTGCAGCCCCTCCTCAGGAACAACTACCCCTAAAAGGTTCCATTTTCTAGGGATTGTCTCTGCATTTTCAAACATGTGTGATACAGAACCTCCCAAGAAAACGATAAAGTCAGATAATACGTTTCAATAGAAATAGGGACCTTGTGGTTTTAAGTAACATACAATATTTTAAGTTATGTCAAAGGCAGAAAGGAATGACAGTTTTTATACAGGGATTTATGAATAAAGTGAAACAATAAATTGTGTATGCATTTTATTGGAGAGATATGTGTGTATATGTGTGAGTGTGTGTGTGTCCATTGAGATCAAACTACATAAACTGGTCTCTATACTTTGTTTTTTAAAGTGAACAGTATCCTATACATTGTCCCAAGCAGCACAGGAAGACATACCTCATTCTTTTTGACAGTGTGAGATCCTAGAAGTGGAATTATTGGGTCCAACAGAGGCTGCAATCTGATATTGCCAAACCGCCTTCAAAGAGTTTTCATCAATTATGTGATTGAGAGGGTGTGTGTGCTCACACACAGGCCAATGTGGATATTTGCTGGCTTATCTCTTAATCTGATTATGTGTTAACCATTATGTTTTAGTTTTTATTTATGGATAAGTGTGAGCATACAGATCTATATTTTTTAGCTTTATTGAGATATAATTGATATGGAAAAATTGCACACATTTAATGCATACATCTTAAGTTTTGCATTTCTTTTAAAAACAGTTTTTACATCTCCAATTCGTGCATTTACATGTTATTAATAACACGTTTACTGCTATTGTAGGCTCTTGAGGGTGTGATTTAGCAAAACCTATTCAAAATTAAACTTCATGTGTCCTTTGAGCCATCAAAGTGTCTCTTGGTTATTTATCCTTTAGAAATAAAGGCATTAGAGGTGTATATATGTATATATATATATAAATAATACATATACACACACACATACATACGTACATACATACCTACTATGGGGGGAAGAAGAAACTTTCCTCTACCTTCACGGTTCTTTTGGCTAATTATCAAATAGACGTGAGACAGATTGGCAAGAGAAAATAACCAAATTTAATACATACATATGTGTGGGAACCTCACATACAGGAGAGGCCCCACATGCACAAGAGGTTCAGAGGTAGCAAGGGAGATTGAGGTATATGAGACATCCTGAGTTAGGGATGAGGTAAGGTGCTTTGGGGGCTTCAAAGAGTCATTGCAGGGTGAGAGCAGATGTTTAGTAAATAGAAGTTTGCCTTGGTACATAAAAGCATGCTTAGCTCCAATATTGTTTGTGGTAACAAATCTGGAAGCAGCTTAAACACTCATGAATACTGGAATGTTTCAATAAATTTCACTGACAGTATGAATTGCTATTTAAAAAGTGAATGCTATTTGGTGAGAGTGTCAACGACTTGGCATTATTAATCAAAACAAAAAATTCAACACGCCCTTTGGCAAGTTATTTCACTTCTACAAGTGTATCCTCATGCATACGCATCACAAAGCGTTATTAAGCACTGAAAAGTAGAATCCTCACTCTCTGCCCTGTTCTCCGCTCGCGGTCCCGCCCCAACCACCACCTCAGCAATGTCCTCCTGGCTCTGCTTTGGTCCCAGCCCCGGCCTTTCAAGACTGGTTCGGGTCCTGCCCTCTGGCCTGGTCACCGCCCCAGCCACGCATTTCGAAATCGGTCCTTGTCGAGGCCCCTCACCCCGCCTCCGGCCTCGGCACCTCCCCAGCCACGCCCTGCAGGCGTGGCCCTGGCCCCAGCCCCG